TCCCCGGCCGCGCCACATCCTCGGCGCCGGACGCGGGCCGAAGATGTGGCGCGGCCGGGAACTCGACAACTAGCTCTGTCGACTGTCGTGCATGTGAGTGAGGCACGTAGTACGCGGTACGCCGGCCGGCTTGCACTGTAGCTTGATATGGATCGCGCTGCATGCGGCATGCCTAGTAGCTGGTAGCTGCAGCAGCTTGTTGCTCTGTCTATCTGATGGCGAAACCGAACCAAGCAGAGGAGGAGGAGGAGGAGGTAGCCGCTAGGTACATGGGGGCCCTGACCCTGACGAGTGAGTAACAGCCGTACGTTGGACGGCACGACCTCGTCAGTACTGCTGCTACTACGGCTACCGCATGCGTCGCTTGCCGGGTTGCCACTCGATCTGCAGCACATCATAAAAATCTCTCCAGATTTAGTCAGGCCACCACGTCCTCGTCTTTACTTATTTCTAGGCACTGACTTCTCGCGCTACTCGTCTGTTTCACGTACTCGAGGCAGATGAGCAGCAGAGGACCACCTCATCAAGACATCAACAGCGAGCTACTCACTCGTAGCTAGTTGCATCGATCATCTGAAAGGTCAACATGAATGCATATGCATGCAGGACCGGGGATCGATATGTGGCCGTGCATGGCTCTCAAGTCTGAGCACTGAAATACCGGTCCAGGTCACTCCCTGGAGCGTGGGGGGAGTGATCTGCGTCGTCGTCCCATTCCGGCGGCATCATGCATGCGTGTCGTGTCCCTGACCGCAATTACGTTGCCGCACCTCTGCTTGCTGAACCGGCATGACGAATTGGTTCGAGCCCACAGCAAGCATGCCGCCCAGAAGGCTTGGCGTAATAGTAGCTCAGAGTCAGGGATCAGATCAGTCGATGATGTACTGCCCGCCTGCCTGCAGCCATTGCAAGGAGGGCACGGTTTTCTCGGGGTTCCGCTTCCGCCGGGACCATGCGTGCGTGCACTGTGCACACCACCGTCGTCGTTGGCCTACGCGGGCACACAATGGCACTGCCGCTGACGCACGAGGTTGGGCTGCGTGTGCGTGTTCGTGCTCGCGCGCAGGACGAGCAGGTGCAGTGCATGCATCAAAGCGCCCCCGTCTCGGACTGCACTCGCCCCGTCCGTCGCCCGGTATGGTAACAGTGCAGCTAGCCGTAGCCTCGTCCGCGCCATCCGCCATGCATGGAGTACGCACGTTGGAGTAGGTCTCGTCAGCAGGCTGGGCGCGTGGCGCGGGCTACGTGTCGCGCCAGGGCGCAGACCTGCCCGCTGTGTGGCGCCAGGCAGGCACCGGCGCACCGCACGGGTTGTCGTCTTGTCGTACGAAATCAGGGCCGCTTATCGCGTTGACCTTCTTTCTTTCCTTTTTTTTTTGAATCAGACCATCTTTCTTTCCTGCGTCATCAATCATCATGGATCGCAGTGGGGGGGAGTTTAGCCGAGCCGCCGAACTGACCGAGCTGGCGCATCAACGGCCCAGTTCGACACAGAGAGATATAGCGGTCGGCCCATCGTATCGGTGAACAGTTGGTTCTTAGCCCATGGAGATACTCTTTGGGCCCATTCGAGGGTATCGTCGTGAATTATGACTTGACTTCGATCTTCTGTCAGTAATTGGGGCATGCTAATTCCCAAAGTAACCTAGAGTGATTGCATCGCTCGGTGTTCTTGCTAGCCATCGTGTTCTCCCTCCATTCTAAATTATAGGTGCACATTCTCTAATTAACACTCACTAGAGATACTTTCTATTGCTATTAGCTTTAAGTAGTAATAATAATTTTATAACCACAAAAATTCTAAGTGTATGTCTCCTACAAGTATACACATTTTTAGAGGGGTTACTCTATGGTTTGTGTCTTTGTGATTTTGAGACTAACACCTTCTCAAGTCTATCATGTATCTAGTCTCATTGTAAGGAAAATGAAGTACCTTGAGATAGAGTAAGGATTCAAAGTCTTTAATTCAGTAGCAATTTAATATGTTCAATTGATATCTTCTCTTTTAATAAATATATGCTATCTCCATGCTTTATATACTATAGATTAGACTCCCTATTTGTGCTTTAATTGGCAAGTTGTGTATATGCTTTGCTTTCCACCACATGTGTACGCATACACTAAGAGGATTTTAGTCTATGAAATGTAGTATCAAGTATTGTGATTCATTCCACTCCACATCCAAAGGATCACATAATTAACTCTTCCTTGTGCTACTAACGTCTTTCTTTCCGGTATTTGATTCCAAGGGGAGAGTGTGGACCAAAGCAAGCCCATACAACAATAAAATGCCAAAATCAACAAATCAAGTTTTTCATATTTTGTGGTGATTAAAGTAAGATGGGGGACATTTAGTATAGAAGGGAGAAATAGATTATGGGTTAGGGGGGGCTTTATGTCCATAATGCCACATAAAAGATACAAATGTAAACATGCATTCAGTTAGTATCATGCATATATCTTTTAGCTTCAATTGGTATCTTGTTCTTACATTTCATCCAAGTAGGTAGGTAGGTTTCAATTTGGTATATATTTATAGTTTGTTTTGGTGTGTTGTCATAAGTCACTAAAAAAGAGAAGATTGTAAGAAAAATGTCACCTAGTTAGGGCATTAAGTGATTTTGGTGATTGAGTGAGAGCATAATCAATTGGATTTGCTACTACCTCCATTTTCTTTTATAAGGCGTGGCTTCACATGATATGGTCTTCTAAATTACACTTTGATCATTTATTTATTTTATTTTATATTTTATATGTTTATAAACTTATGATAATTGGATAATACATTTGTTCATAAATTTAACTGTATAATTTTTTATTATAATTGTCTAAAATTGTTAGCTAAATTATTTATCAAAGCTTTTAAAGTTTGAACCTTAATATATGTGTGCGCCTTATAAAAGAATATGGAGGGTGTGGTATACAAGGTTTTAATAGTTCTATCGATGCAACGATGAACTTGGGCGAGGCGATAGTGAAGATAAATGATCAACATCTCAAGCAAATGATTAGGAGTTATCATGAAGACTCTATAAGACAAACAAGAAGTCCAAGACATTAAGTAGAAGAAGCCCAGATGAAAAGAAAAGACACGAATAAGAGAAGAAATAAAAAGCACCGGGTGCTCAGATAGTGAGCACCGAACACTACAAAGAGATGTGACCTTTTATGACGATTATATGACTAGTCCTTCGGGCGCGCCCATGCCCGCGGGCCACTGGCCACACTTTTTTTTTGGAAAAAAAGATATAAGCAAAGTTGGCCTGTATGTTGATTTGAGAAAAATCCGAGGAGGTTTGCGCAAAAAATGATGAGAGGGTTTGTAGAGCGCGGGCTGATTTTCGACAAAGATAAGGTTTTTTTTGAAAAAAAACGCGGCAGCCATCCGTTCTGGACCGCGGGTTGATTTCAAAATAATCTGAGGTATTTTTTTGCAAAATATCCTGAGAGGGACTCCGGAGCGCGGGTTGATTTCCGGAAAAAGAAGGGTTTTTTTGAAAAATGACCGCGGCTCGTCCGATCTGGGCCGTCCGCACGGCCGATCGAACGACCACGAAAAGCAGACAATGTGGACAGCCTCAGAGCGCGTGCTGGCCACAACAAATGTAAACTTTAAATGACACGAACAAGAGAAGAAACAAAAAGCACTAGGTACTCAGATAGTGAGCACCGAATACTACAAGAGATGTGACCTTCTATGACGATTATATGATGACAACAGAGCAATTTGTCACTAAATTATTCAAATAATGACGATTTTCAGGAGCCGATCTTACTTAATGACGAAAATATATTACCTGTCACTAAGTCAATTCAAAATCGTCATTACCTATTTTGGCATCGTGGTTATGATGGATTTATATGACAAATGTTCATGCGTCATAGTTATTGGTTGAATAAAAACAAAAATTGATGGCTAGATTGTTCTCACCTTTTTTGAACCCATAATTCTATCATATCATTATTAAATACTTACTTCTCTCTACTTCAATGATAAATTGCACCCTAATATTGCTTTAAAAAGCTGCAAATGGTCTCACCGCCAACAATTGGCGCAAAAAATGGCAGCCAGCCAGCCAAAAAATTTCTCTCCACGCCAATAATAAAATTGTCTCCCTGCCTCCCCGCCAACGATTCCCGGCAGCCTCTCCCTCCCCTGCCATCTTTTTTGGGCCAATTGCCACTTCTGTCCACTGTCACAAGTCTTTCATGTACCCAAATCAAGGGTATTACAGTAAAATTCCTATACAAGAAGTGGAACCCTGGACATCCCGGTCTGATTTCATATTTGGGGGAATTTCTTGTGTGCCATTAAAAAAATCGCAATGCCCTGTGTGTCTCTGGAAAAGTTCAACGGTCTTCAGCGTCACTGCTCCAACTTTTTTATGTCCTCCATGCCACTGCCGTCAGTTTAGGCTCTAACGTCGTCAAACTGTAGATGTGAAAAGTCGAAAATACCCTTAAGTCTAAATATGTCATTAATTTTTTGAGCATCTTAGCGACTTTAAATGAAAAAACTCAAAACTAGAAAGTTGTAGATCTCGTCGAGATCTATAATTTTTATATAAAAATTATATTTATTTAATTCCGCAGTGCTAAAAAAATTAATGACATATTTAGACTTAAGGGTATTTTTGACTTTTCACACCTGTAGTTTGACGGCGTTAGAGCCCAAACTAACGGCAGTGACATGGAGGCAAAAAAAAAATTAGAACATGACGGTGAAGATCGCTGAACTTTTGTAAGACACACAGTCAATTACGATATTTTTTAATGACACGCGACTAATCCCCCTTCATCCTTCCCCCTTTCCCTTGCTCCTCCAGCCGCCACCCTCTCCCCTTTCCAGTGCCTGCGCCACCACTCCCCCTCCACCTCCGCCGCAGCCCTTGTTCCCAGAAGCTAGCGCCACCATCCTGCTCTAGCTGCATCCACACCCTCTCCCAGCTGACCCCTCTTCCTTCCTAGTGCTGGGCGACGAGTTCCGCTCCAAATACAAGATGCCTCCCAGGAGAAAGGTGCAGACTGCCAGGATAGCTGAGACGCCCACAGGTAACTCCTCAAGCTTGAGCGCCAGGAAAGGGAACAACGAGTGGATCTGAGGGGTGCCGACGGGATTTTGTTTTTTTTTGGTGTTCTGATGTTCGAACTTAGGGTTTTGGGGTGGGGGAATTTTGGTTCCTGTGGGCGAGTCCGTGTCCAGCGGCAGCGAGTGGGCGATGGCCGTGCGCCTCCATCGGCTTGAGCTTTTGGGGAAGTGGGCAGCGAGTGAGGGCCATCTGGAACGAGGAGTGGCCTAGTTGATGGCTATCGCTGGCCCTGTTGATCCTCTGCACGGATGAGTTCGTTTATCCTCTTTCTGTTATGCGTATGCAAGAAGATGAACAGTAGAAGCTAGTTAGTATGTATGTTTGTACCATTTATTCATGTTTTTTGATAAATTAAAGGAAAATAATAGTAGATCCATATGGCTTGAAACTAATTTTGTTAGTTTACCAGATCCATCCTATACATAAGAAAAATATGTTTATGCATTTTGTTATGGTCCAGATTTCTATGTTTATTAAAATATGAAGAGAATGTTTAAAGCAAAATAAATGTTGAGTGCCCTTAACATTAGGAAAACTAATTATTTTTTAAGCCAATCGATCTTAGTTTTCATATACAAAACATTGAACAGTGAGACAACAGCAAGATTTATATTCCAATTCATTTCATCCTTTTCGGTATACTAGTACATTATAGGAGAAAATTCTAGTACATTTGCATGTATGGAATGCGTCAACACATATATATATACAGTTCAAACTTTTTTTTTAAAATAAACTAGAAACATACATCCAACTCTAAAATAAAAATTCTAGCTGCTACAACCGATATTTCCCACTAAATTTGTCTCTTTTATGCTTCAGCTGATTTCCAAACATAAGAAATATTGAACTGGTTTTTTGGACTTGCAATGGCAATATACTCAGTAAATAATACTGTCGGCGCAAAAACGTGTCAATGCGCCTGACACATAGCAAACCGGAAGGATCTGCTTAATGGAGCAAGGCTGGAGATCCGCTTGGCTTCAACGTAGGACCAGTCGACCCTACGAATTCCCGAAGGCGTGCCAGTCAATTTGACCTGTAATTGACAAGGAGAGAAAGTTTATCAGTAATTTAAGGTGGAACATGCCGGTTTTGCCCAGACAGTTCCAAGTGTGCCGCCTCGGGAGCAGCCAAACGGGGGAAATCGACGAAATAGCCGATACGCGAAGAAATCGACTGTTTACGAACTGTAAAGCTTATGGGTTGCAATTGGTTTTATGATAACAAGTACAATGCACGCAGATATAAGTAACATCGTCAGCTAGGTGGATATTACCAGTGTAAAGCATTGAGCCGATGAGTTTAACGAGGAAGGATATAACATGCAAACAAATCGACTGTCTAGTACAAATAGATCTACAAACGTTCTGAATCTAATATGTTACCATCAACAGTGAGGTTCGACTGGATCGATGACAGCTATGATTATAATAACAAACTAAAACCGAAGAATCCATAAAACCATCTATATATTGACAGGTTTTCTGAAAGATATGCTATATGTGTGAAAGCACAAGCGAATCGGCTGAAATAGCCGATTCAGGTAAAAAATGGACTACAACATGTGAACAATCGACTATTTAACATGAATAGACCTATGAACTCATCAGACCTAACATGTTATCTTTAACAGTGGGGTTCAACCGGATCGATGACAGCCATGATAAAGACAACAAATCAAACATTTAAAATAAACAGATCTATTCACATTTAACAGAATTATGGAAACACACTGTAGGTGTTAAAGCACAGGCGATCGGCTATTTAGCCGATGCAGGCATAGCAAACAGCTAGAGTCATGCCTGGTCGAAAGCAAATCTACCGACTAGCATCATTCGATCTAAAGTACTAACAGTGGGGATCGACCGGATCGTTACATCCATAATAGCGAGCTATAGACCAGATTCAACTAGCTAGTAAATCTTCTCAAGATCAGACATGCCATAACCGTGTGCTATGCACGATCAAGATCAAAGTAGAACAACCAGTGAAACATAATCCGTCATTTAAAGTAAGAACCGTCGCAATGTAACAAAATAAACGATAGACTAAAAAGGATGTGATGCCGATCTAGATCGATTTCGATCGGGCAGGTTGATATTGCTGAAACTAATGACAATAATAACATCAGTAAGATCGGTAACTTAATGAATCTACCCGAAGGACGTCACACTTAGGTCGAGCCGATAACTTGACCTTAATCTAATTCGAGCAGTGGAGGTCGAACTTAACCGATGCAGCTGTACTTGAACTAGATAAGAGTCGATAACTAGCTTATACTAGAGCTCGTAAGAGGTCGACCGAACCGATGCAGCCTTACAAACAGAAGTATAAGCCATGACGGTACTTACAGACAAGCTGGAGGTAGGCCGGACCGATGCAGCCCTGTTGGTTGAAGAACTCACCGGGATCTACATTACTCCTACTCCTAAGGGTTGGCGTAAAGCCGAAAAAAAAATTGGTATTGAATGATTGGATGTCTTTTACAATAGCTGGGGTCTAATATTTATACCCGGAACCTAAGCATGAATCTTACTCAAGTACGACTTATTACAAACTTTGGTATAAGAGAAAACATTCCTAACTTAAGATAACTTAGATCCTAATCTTTTCCTTTTTGTAGAGTCCGACATTTTTCTCGACGCCAACCGTAGCTCATTGACGTTATCTGCTGATGTTATCCAAAGAGAGCCTATCCCAGTGCCACATATGAATCAATTGATATCGATCCTTATGCAATCGATTCCTTGATGACTCAATTTTGGAAGTTTCGAGTTCCCGCATGCTTCTTCCCAAATTTTGGTGTAAACAAATACATATACGATGGTAATTGTTACTTGTAAATATTAAACTACAAAGTGATTACAGTAGACTGAAAGCACTGGAATCTAAGTAGTTTCCTGTAAGGTCCAGCTATTAATCCATTATATATGTGTACTTTTAGAAGTAGTAAAACTAGAATTAAATTTGGTAAATAGTGGAAAGCAGAGTTCCACTTTGCAAGGATGGTTGCCTAACAATCCTGAATACCAGGAGTAAGGAGATCCTTTGAAGTTATTAGCAAATAGAAAATAGCACTGACTCACAGAAGGAATGCTCTGACTACTCCCTTGTTTTAATTGAATGTACAGAAGCAGTGCCACTTGAATATTTAAGACAGAGGGATCAAAACATTATGAGGAACGACCAATTCTTCCAAAGCCTTGGGCTCAGTACCCTAGTTGCACAAGGGTAAAACTGCAAGGAACAAGGATGATGTTCCTGAAAAATCTGGATCTCTCTACAATCTTGAGGAAGATGAGGGCTTTAACGAACATGACGAAGATGAAGTCAGCATGGTACAAAGGATTGTTATTGGTCATTATCATTTTGGTGACTGCACTTCCATTATTTTTGGGTCTAATTCTTCTTTTTTGCTTCATACTAGGCTTCTAAGGTGGGTGAGGATGTATGTAACAAGAATGTCCAACATATTGGCAAGTTCTCTGCTAGAGGTTCGAAAGCATCAAAGAGAGTGGTAGCACCACAAGAACAAGGGGAAAGTACTAGAGTTACTAGGCAAAGGACTGCTGCCAATCCAAGCCTCGCTATTGTCACACATGATGCATTGGCATCTACCAATACTACTACAAGCCAGAATGAGGAGCACATAAACAACAATGATGAAGGCAAGTGTTTATGCGACCTGGTCACCTTATATGAAATGTTGGTTACTACATTAATTAGCATATATGCAGTAGTTCTTAGCAGATCAACATTACTGGCTTCATTTATTTCTACCATTATGCTTCATTGTAGACTCCATTTATTTCTATCATTGCTTATAGACTTCATTGCTTGTTGCATTCACTACTATTAGCATGTATCAGTCCTAGGTAACAGTACAAACATACAGATATGCTAATAAAATCAGATTGATACTTATTTTTTAAATCTGGAATATATTTGCTACTAACTCTACAAATGAAATCTTGTTAGGTGCATTATTTGCAAGTGCACAACATGTGCCGCGGGGAAAATATATGGGCAAAGAGCTGGATGCGTTGAATAGAGGGCTAGGGACAAAGATTAAAATTGACATTGCTGAAGGGAATAGAAGGCCGAAGGCACCAATGCAAGCTGCAAAACTTGCATCAGAGGCTGGGATCTCACCCAGGCTGCATACACCTTTCTTTCCGCACTGGAAGGAGTACAAGAAGGAACATAATAAACATCTTGTTGAAGCCTACATTGGCAAAGTTGCTGTAAGTCAATATCTATTTGACTTGTTCAATCATAGTTCACGTGTCCTTTTCATTTTCAATCTGATCTCTATTTTTTTACTAGATCACATTCGACATGGACACTAAAAGTGAGGCTGTACAAGCTGCTTGTGTTGACATGCTAAAGGGTGGACAACGTCAGATGAGGTATAGGCTGAAAAAGAAGTACTTTGATGGAGTTCCAGCAAATCTAGTGAGGACAACATCACCTGTGACGTGTATGACTGATGATCAATGGAGAGCATTAGTGGAGATGTGGTCCAACCCAAAACACAAGGTATGACATTGGTGATGTTGCTGATAAATGTGTACATATCTGGACATGGCATTTGTAGTCCTTTTTTAGTACTTATTTTTATTTCCTTTACCTTACTATTTTGTGTGGTGTACATGACACTTATGTCAAAAACCAAGTTAATTGTGCGAAAGTCCAGTTCCATCAGCATACAGGTTCTCGATGTTACATTGCACATGCCTATGTCACGGTAGGACAATTTAATGATATGTGATCTTGTTGCTGATCTTCTAATTTACATGAATTAGATTGTTGCTATTGTCTCAAGGTTCATGTTCTGAAATCCAGCATATACCTCGTACATGCTTGAAATTGTATATATGCCTCTTTTCATGTGCTTCTAATTTACATGTAAACATATGCCTCCAATTGAATTTATGTCCTTGCTATACTTATTGAAAAATACTTGAATGAGCAAAACCTGTTCAATGAACTTGTATTTCCAAGTCTAGGTTCTATAATTTGCTACTATTTGCATGAGTGCATTGCTGGTAGCATTTTGGTCACATTATTTAAAATGAGAAGCACATGAAATTGGTTCAAGCTAACAAGTTTAAGTTGATTTCTCATCATTTTAGAAACAAGAAAAATATAAAGACACAGAGCCCACTGCGATTGATTTGTTCAAGGAGATGCATTGCAGCAAGAAGAGTGGTTTTTGTGAGCCTGTCAAAAATGCAATTGTAAGTACTTTCCCCTCTTCTAAAAAAGGGCGTACCCAGTGCAGATAGCTTCCGCTTTGTGCGGGGTCTGGGGAAGGGTGTCAGTGGCAAGCCTTACCCTCGCCTGTGCAATGCGAGGAGACCGCGGCTCGAACCCAGGACCTTCCGGTCACAGGCGGTAAGACTCTACCGCTTGCACCAGGCCCGCCCTTCTTGTGCTACAGCAGTTGTTGTATGCCGCTTATAATCTGAACCGTTGAAATCTAATGTATAGAATCTGAACCTTTCAAATTTGAACTGTGCACGCAGCACCCGCTGCAGCTATTGCCTTTACTTCATGATTGGAAATGATTGTGGGCTGTTTTCGCTATTGTCAGAAATGATGTTGCTATTGCCTTTACTTTTTGCATAACTACTTTGTTACATTATTCATTTCCCAAGTTGGGTGTATGTAGTCTTCTAAATTCAAATATGATATATTGCAAGTACACTGTCTTTTCCTTCATATACTGCTTTTAGCTCTTGTTCGAGTTTAACTTCGTACATGTTTGAAATGATGTTTGAGGCCATTTTGGCTAAAGTAAGGTCACTTTTTAGGTCTCTGTAAAGTATTATTGTAGACTGTTTTTCCTATACTGATAGAAATCTGTACCAAAGTCAATACTAATTTTTGTATCATTCTGTTGCTAGGCTGCTATGGAAGCAATTGAGGCTGAACCAATGCAAGAAGGCCAGCAGTCGATGTCTTCTATTGAAATTGTTTCCAAGGTGCTACCGAAGTCAAGCACATTTCTTCAAAATGTGGGGCTGCCAACCTCCAAGCCAAGTAGTAGAAGTGCAGTTAGTTCGCAGGTGCGAGAGCTACAGGCTCAACTTGAGGCTAAGGAGCAAGAATCTGCGCTACTTAAGCAAGAATCTACACAACTTAAGCGAGAGGTGGCTAGCCAAGCACATGAAATTGACAATTTGGAGAAGGGACAGCAAGAAACTCATGCCCTCCTTTAACAGCTGATTAACTTCAACCAGGGTCAAGTCACTCCTCCCTAAAATTTGTGAGCATCCTCGTCATCTAGATATGCATCCAGGCGAGTTGGTTCAATTATGCCTTCTGTATCTATCCCTAAAATTTGGGCTGATAAGAGTCTTTGGTGAACTCTGTAGCATTTTGGTGTGCTTGTGGCTGCTGCAATACAAACTATGAACTTAGTATTGCTTTAGCTTGCAAACTATTTCACACTCTAAGTTGTTATGTATGACTGAGATGGATGTATGGTTGAGATTGTTGCTTCTAAGATGTTGAATGGATGTTGACTATGAAATTTGTTATGAATCAATGTATGGCTGTCATTTGTTGAATTCAATTGTATGGTTAATATTGGCATTGCATAGGCACACATGGTAGTTGCCTACTTGAGATTTCATGACATTTTTAATGACAATAATGATCGTCATTATTGCTGGTGACGAAAATATTGCTGTCACCAACTCAGTGATGATATACTCTCAATTGTCATGGAAGGTGCTTTAACACGCACCTTCGGTGACAATAGGTATTTTGTCACTGCATCGTCACATAGCGTATTATGGTGATGTAAAATCCTCTATTTGTGACCTAAATGAGCCGTCATAGAAGGTCACATCTCTTGTAGTGGAAGCTTTTTGATGAGGCTTAATCTAAGGCTGAATAGAAGAAGAAGCCCTCACCTTACACAGGAGCATTGGTACAAAGAGGGTGTTGGAGGACTCGGTGGAGATGATACACATACCGCTGCTCTCCGGTGGTACACCGGAGGAGCTCACCATCGGAGTTTACAACCTGCAACGGTCGAGTCCAACGACTACACCGGAGCTCACCATCGGAGTTTACAACCTGCAACGGTCGAGTTCAGCGACTAGTTGACATGGCATGATCACTGTGACTCTATGAGTGTGCAGTCCATTGCCATCGGAGCTAGTTTGTTGTGTTGAGGCGGCTATATATACACTCTTCACAAAACCGACCATTTGAGGTCATGTTGGAGCTGATGGAAGTTGCTAATGAGTTGAGACCTATCAATGCACCAAAGTGCTTATAGAACGATTACACGATTAGCAAGAGTGCTTTATGAAGACTTGCTCTAGGTTTAGATTTAGTGTTTAGTGAGGTTTACCTACCTCTAGGCTACTGGTGCTTGTGCACACCAAGTGTTGTACACTAGAGCTTGTTGTCTTTTGAGACCCTTTGGCGTGTGGAGAGGCCATATACGGTGAACAAGGGAACGAGGTCTATGACGTTTTGGCTAGAAACTCGATATGGAGAAGGTGAGGGCGGCCGAGAGAAAACTACATAGAGACACATTTGTGTGTGAGAAAGGCCCCTGTGCTATCCGATGAATTTTCTCATTAGGAAAATTGGCTACGTACCATCAAAAGATTGCAATTTTAGGAACGTACCATTAAAAGATCACTTGTTTGCTATATAGCACCGAAAGGTCACGACGTTATTAGTTTCTACCACTTCCGTTAACTTTGCTAAAGTTCCGTGTATCTCCGTTCTCCAAGTCGTCTTCTTCCAAGGCGCACGAGATCAGACGTAGGGCTGTCATGCCACGCGGCGGACGTCGATGGCCGCACCTTCGCGCGCCAGCCCGGCCACGTGCGACACGAGCGCTGCACCTTGTCATGGCGGAGGGCCTGCTGCTGTGCGTCGAGGCGTTGCGGCGCGAAGAGCTCCGTGGAGCACACCTTGAGCAGGGCGCGCCACAGGGGGCTTCTCGTCGGGATCGGGAACCAGCCCATGGAGCGTTCTTGCACGGCCGTGATTCCGTTACTACTCCATCTGCGGCTACGCTGACGATTCACGAGCAGGGAGCGAGCGACACCGAGAAGATTGCATGGACCATGGTCGTGTAGCTTTCAGAACCGCGGTGGTAATGAGGCATGGGTGAGAACAGCAGTCCACCGTTCACCACCACAAGGTAATTGCTGCTGCAATCGCATTAGATTAGCACGTAAGCAGCTGGCAATTCAAGGCATGCGGGGGTAATTCAAGGCAGCACGACCATCAGCAGGAGAGTCATCACTCATCAGACATCAAGCAAGAACAAGCAAGGTTTTCCTTTTTTTTCTTTTTACCGAGAAGCATGCAGGGGTCGTCGTCGTCGGGCAGGGCGGGACAGCGACGAGGAGACAGCGGCAATCGCACTGCGGAGCAGAGAGATTGCAATCCATCAATCGCTGGACGGACGGATTGACGGTTCCTTGGTTCGAATGCGGCCATGCGGATACAGCAGCAGCCGCGGACTCAACACGCATGCCACATTGCCACTGCGTCGCGCGCACGAACAAGCATGGCAGGCGGCGGACGCAAGCAACAGGCCGGGTTGGCCCTTTGGCCGCCGGAGCAGCTGGAAGAACGGACGGACAGGCAGGCTTTCTTGCGAAGAAGTTCACGGGTCGTTCTCCTTGATCCTTATCCGCGCGGAGGTGCGGCCGCTGTTCTTACAAACGGAGGAACTCTTCTGCGGCGTGTGTTCACAGAGAAGTTCACGGAATGGTAGAAACCTGTAACGTTGTAATCTTTTAATGGTACATCGCCAAACATGCAATCTTTTGATGGTACGTACCCAATTTCCCTTTCTCATTTGTTTGTGTGGTGAATTGCCAAAGATGTCTAGAGCGCCTTGGCTTAGACGAGGACGGACGCTTATTTTTCATGCTATATAAACGGAGCTCAGTTTGGCCGGTAAAGCAGTTGTGGTGTTTTATAGTCTGATGAGGCTGCGTAAATTGGTGCTCTAGGTCACGGTCGTCTTCCGCAATCGCGTAAACCAAATTCGAACTGCTCTGAATTAATGGAATCTGCTTTTGGTTTGAAACGCCCAATCCGCAGTCAGTCGCTGTAGCGTCGCCTTTTTCCTTCTCCCAGAGGCAGAATCATCATCTGTCTTCCGCGGTAATCTTTATTCGGACAAGTAACCGCACACGACTGGCCGACTGCTGTAGTGCTGTTGCTGCGAAGAAACTCTAGATTTTCAGACCCGTCCGTGCCGAGTCCCGACCGTCTCTTTGCAAGGAAGCTGAAACCAAAAGGGAAACGCCAAGTCCAGAAATGCATGCGAATTGCAGAAAGGGGTCGTCGTCTCCGCAGACGAGCGACGAAAAGCCGAGATAAAGAAGAATTCATCCTCCATCTTTTGGAGCGCCCGCAGCCAGGATCCATGTGCTGCCCCAAGATTAAGCAACTCGATCACGGCCTGAAATGATGCTGCGTGTCAGTGCGTTGTTACCTAATAGGAGTAGTACGCATCCCCTGGCCTTTTCTAGAGACTCAGCTTCGTTCCACTTTGGTTTTACTAGTCCGTATTTGGCGTTCCTTTTGGGGTTCAACGGTTTCGCACCGGAAAGTTCAGACAGATGTGACATGAGCGGACGTATGTATGCCCGTGCGCGCGCGCTAGCATCATCGCTGAGGTGGACGCAGCGTGAGCCGCGAGTTAGTTAGTTCTTATCCGCCTAGCTATCCGGTTAGTAGTCAAAACAAGCAACCTGAACCTGAGCTTAGCTGGGTGATGTGAACTTAAGACGTTTCCGTGGCATTCCTCCGGTGTTGACTTCCCGAGTTGCATGCATTTCTGGTTCGTGCGTGGCCGACCGGTTGCGTTGCCGCTATGTATTGCTCGCTCGCTCGCCATCCTTGCAATGCAACGAACCTGCTGCACTAGTGCTTCGTCAGCGATCGAGCTCCGGATGAAGGTCATACACCCGGACCCGCCGGATAGCACGTGGGGCTCCCAGTGCTCCACTCGATGTCTACCACACAGATGAGAGGCCCCTCTAGAACACCGTTTGTACTGTGAGTCTGTGACTGGTACGGGCCCGCCAAACCGTCGATCGACCCCCGTCGCCGTCAGCGTCCATATGTACTCCGTATGTTCCCAGCACGAAACCGCGGCGGGGAAGAAAAGGAAAACGGTCGGAAACTGACCCCATGGCCGTGGGCGCGCGGGAGTGCGAGTGCGAGACGAAAAGTCCCGGGCGGCGGCGCGACGAAACGACCGGATTCTGCCTCTGCCGGCCGCAACTATGCACGCTTCTAGTAGTCGACGTTCACCTGTGGCTCAAGGAGGATAAGGTGACGTGACGGGGCAGTTACAAATGCCAAAGACCCGCCACGCCCCGAGCCACCGCCGTCTCACGTCACAGTCACAGGTGGGCTTTTCGGCCACAAAGTGCCAGGCGCGCGGGGCAAAGCACGAGGCGGAAACCGACGGCTGCGCCGCCGCGGGCGTGGCCGAGAGTTCCGTGTCTGCCCTTCCGTTTCACTGCGCGACACCGGTCCAGCGGGATGGATTTGGTCGAGGGCATTATAGTCAACCGTGCGTGACATGTTCCAGAAGGGTTTAACACAAGGATTATGCGGAGGCTAAGACGGGTCTGGTCAACTGGGTTGGTCTTTCCTCAGAGCTGGGTCCAACAGCAACATAGGGAGTATACTCCTACTACTCCGTATATCATTATTCGCGGAATCGCGGCAACCATAGAAAAGTTTGATACTCTTTCGTTTCAAATTATAAAACGTTTTGAATTTTTCTAGATATGTTACATTTGCCATGCATATAGATATACACTATATCTAAATACATAGTAAATACAATGTATCTAAAAAAGTCAAAACGTCTTTAAATTTGGGATGGATTTAGTACTAACTTGATATAATTTTCCTAACATCGGATGTATAAATAAAAATTACTGTGTTAAAGTATCTACTATCACCATGTTCTCTTATGCTAAAATTTGGTTTATGCTGAAATATCATGAGAGAAAAACACTGTTACATGGCTGAAAAGTAACTCAAGCGAACAAGGCGTACATCTTTTGTCCTTAGTCCTTGCCGTATCTTTCATCAGACAGCTCTTTATATAGCCTCGTCTCACGTTACCCCTACCGGTGATAACTACATAACACCATTTTTTTATAGGAAAGAAAAGAAGGAGAAGCATAACGGGTTGATCATTTGGGTAGCA